CTGTTCCTGTGTTGCTGCAGCAGGGTTGAGGTAGAGGCTGCTGGCGCCAGCCTCCTCCCAGCGCAGAGGGGACCGGTCCCGCTGTCCGGCGCGGGGTGTGGGGCCTGTCCAGTCCTGTCCAGTCCACTGACCCCCGGTTGTCCTCCTGTCCGGCAGGTGATGCTTCGGAGCCTCAATGTATACGAGACGCCGTCACGGTTCTAGAAGCACAGAGCAGGGCGTGTATCTCGGACCCTCCCAGACGCAAGCGCAGGACTGCCCCCCCCCTGCCGGGCCCCCCCCCCTCCCCGTCGCCACCGACAACGCCATGTCCGGCCGGGACCGCACCCAGGAGTTCCTCTCCGCCTGCAAGTCGCTGCAGGGCAGACAGGTACTGGGGAGAGGAGAGGGAGGTGGGGGAGACAGGAGAGAGGAGGAGGAGGGAGGCGGGGGAGGGAGAGGAAGGGCTGAAGATGTGAGGGTTGAGGGGGAGGATGGAGGAGGGAGAGAGGGCAATAGGAGAGGTATAGAGGGTTGATCAGTGGGGTGAGGGAGAGGAGGAGGAGGAGGAGGAGGAAGAGGAGGCTCATTCTGTGTCTCTGCTCTGCCAGAATGGAGTCCAGGTCCACAAGCCGGCTCTCAGCGCGGTCAAGCAACGCAGCGACTTCACCATCATGGCCAAGTGAGTCCCCTGCTCTCCAGCACGCTGACCGCCGCCTTTCACGCGTCTCCACCTTGTCACGCGGATCTCGGCCATCCGGACACTGTAAACCCAGGCGTCAGTGACAGGCTGGACACGCGGGGCTGACCGCTGACCTCTGCTCCCTGTTCTTTGTCTGTCGCCCACAGGAGGATTGGGAAGGACTTGAGCAACACTTTTGCCAAACTGGAGAAACTGACGATACGTAAGCACACTTTCCCCGCTGTGCTGTGGTGGGTGAGCTTGCGAGGGCGGTGGTGCGTGCCGGTCATGTGACGCGTCTCTGGGGTTTTGCAGTTGCCAAGAGGAAGTCGCTGTTCGATGACAAGGCCGTGGAGATCGAGGAGCTCACCTACATCATCAAGCAGGCAAGCGGCTGAGCAGATGTATTACTTACTGAGCTCGGAGCTGACTGGGTCGGGGGATACGGTGTCTGGAATGGGCTCGGAGCTGACTGGGTCAGGGGATACGGTGTCTGGAATGGGCTTGGAGCTGACTGGGTCGGGGGATACCGTGTCTGGAATGGGCTCGGAGCTGACTGGGCCGGGGGATACCGTGTCTGGAATGGGCTTGGAGCTGACTGTCATGGTCTCTGTTTCCTTGTGCAGGACATCAACAGCCTGAACAAGCAGATTGCCCAGCTGCAGGACCTGGTCCGGTCGCGGGGCGGCCAGTCCGGCCGGCACATCCAGACACATTCCAACACCATCGTGGTGTCGCTGCAGGTCAGTCCGGCCCGCCGGCCCACAGGTCCTCCGCGAGACGCAGCCCCGCGGGGAGGGAGAGAGGCCGTGTCCCACCCCGCCGCACTGCCTGCGGGCCTGCGCGGGCGAGGGTTCGAGGGGCACCCTCGTGTGACGTCGCTCGCTGGCTCCGGGTCTGAGTGCCATCTGCTGTTACTGCCTCCCCTCCAGTGGCTCAGTGCACGTCTGCAGGGAATTATTTTAAAAGGCCACTGGGTGCCGTCTGGTCTGTCCCTGCGCACAAGCGGCGAGGCAGCATGTTCCTTCACGCTGAGCAGGCCCGGCTGAGGAAAACTTGGCAACAGATTGCTTAATCAGAGTCTTGCGCCGCTAAATCCGTTTCATCTCGTCTGTCCCAGCACAAAAACGGCAGTGGGAGGAAGGTAACGCCTCTATTCACATGACCAGGTTTGTTCCAAAGTGGTCAAAGTCGGTTAAATAAGGTAAACTTGGCAGTACGTGAGAGCTTTGCACTGTTGAATACTGAATATTTAGTACTTGCGTCTCTCAGCGTACAAAACACACCGCCTGTCGGCGAATATTCATGAGTCAGAATGAGGCGATGACAGAAAAGCTTTATGTCAACGTTTTGTGCCTCCGCTGGATCTGAAGCGGCCTCATACAAACCAGTGGACGTAAAATCTGATGAGTTGTTAAACTCAGCGAGGAGGGGGGGGTGATCCCCCTCAGCCCAGTCCGCTGGGCGCGTGGGGGCGCTCGTGAGCCCCCCGGTGAAACGCAGGTTAGAAACGGGATGCCCCGAGCCCCAGCGAGACCGCGGACGAGGATGCTGGGACACAGCAGGAGACCAATGCTCACTCTTCTCTTCTCTCGCTCTCGCTCCTGCAGTCCAAGCTGGCCACGATGTCCAACGACTTCAAGTCGGTCCTGGAGGTGAGAACAGAGGTGAGTGTTGTCCTGGAGGGAGGACTCGGGTCCGAGTCCACAGCGCAGCTTTCGGGGGGCTGTACTGGGAAAGGAACCCCTGTTTCCGCACCGTGCTGGACAGTGGGCTTGCAGCTGCCATGCTGTCAGCTCAGCGAGGGGGAGGTGGGAGGAGTCTGTGACATCACATCCGGTCTGGAGTGGGCGGGGTTGCACACCTGGCACAGGTGTGGTTGGTGTCACTGGGTGACTGGGGATGTGTGAGAGTCTGGAGGACTCAGTGTTCGGCTCTGGCTGCTGCCCCCCAGGGGGGTTGTGGGGCAGCTGTAGGGAGACGGACTGTTCCGTCCCGGAGTCCGGGGATCTTGCAGGAGTCAGGACAGCGGTGTCTTCCTGTTGGCGTGAGGGTCTGACTTCCTGTCTGCTTGTTGACGCAGAACCTGAAGCAGCAGCGCAGCCGGCGAGAGCACTTCTCTCAGGCGCCCGTCTCCTCCTCCCCGCTGCACGCCAACAACTTCGGTGAGAGCCACGGCCTTGTCGCTCTCCCGTCACTGCCCGTCTCCCGTCACTGCCTCCTCTCTCTCTCTGTCACTGCCCGTCTCCCGTCACTGCCTCCTCTCTCTCTGTCACTGCCTCCTCTCTCTCTGTCACTGCC